TATATGTATGTAAGTATGTATGTTTGTTTGTTTGTATTATTTAGAATTACATACATACATATGTATATATGTTTATATGTATTTAAATTTATAAATTTGTTTTTTTATGTCTATATGTTTCTAAAATTAAATCAAAAACTTAATCAGTATACAATGAATTGATGAATTGATATTCTAAGACAATACAATACACTACATTACAATACAATACATACAATACAAAACAATATGATACAATACAATACAAAACAATACCATACAATACGATAAAAAACAATACAATACAATACGATAAAAAACAATACAATACAATATGATACAATACAATACAAAACAATACAATACAATATACAATGAACGATCAGCAAACAAATAAAATTTGTATTTATTTATTTAATTTTTGTTATTTTATAGAAAAACTCATTAAAATAGAACAAAATAAAACAATTTGAAGCAAACAAAACGACAACAGAAAATCAATTAATTTAAGAGAAAGATAATCCAATTAAACGGCGCAGTGGAATAAATTGAGAGACAACAATGAATACCAAACATACAACGGCAAAAAATACAATAGCAAATACAAAACTTAAAAAACAACACAACAGCAAATACAAAACATACAAAAACTACAATAGCGAATACAAAACATAAAAACAACACAACAGCAAATACAAAACATAGAAATTGAAATAGCTAATACAAAACATAATAAACAACGCAACAGCAAACACAAACATACAAAACTACAACAGCAAATACCAAACATACTGAAAAAAATAAAACACGGAATACAAAACATACAAAAACTACAGAAGCAAACACAAAATATACTAACAAAATACGACATCGAATACAAAACATAAAAAATACAACATCGAATACATAGCAAACAAAGAACAAACAGTCACATACACAAAAAACGGATAGGATGTCCAAATAAAATCAAATTGAAAAGCTTTTAAACAAATGAAATCTCGAAAATCAAGTGAGAATATATAGACACGTTCTACAAACCTTTGTCTCTCTGTATGCGTTTGTATGTCTCTGTATGTGTTTCGATCTTTGTATGTATATATAAGTATGTATGTATGTATCTATGTATGTGTGTTTGTATGTATGTATGTTTGTATGTATGTTTGTATGTATGTATGTATGTATGTATGTATGTATGTATGTATGTATGTATGTATGTATGTATGTATGTATGTATGTATGTATGTATGTATGTATGTATGTATGTATGTATGTATGTATGTATGTATGTATGTATGTATGTATGTATGTATGTATGTATGTATGTATGTATGTATGTATGTATGTATGTATGTATGTATGTATGTATGTATGTATGTATATATGTATGTATGTATGTATGTATGTATGTATGTATGTATGTATGTATGTATGTATGTATGTATGTATGTATGTATGTATGTATGTATGTATGTATGTATGCATTGGTTTCGTAACTACTTAACTTAACAGAAAGAAAACAATTTGTCTATCTGAACGATGAAATTTCCAGTCTGCTCGGAAACAACAACGGTGTGCCTCAAGGAAGCATCCTAGGTCCTTTGTTATTTATATTGTACATAAACGATCTTCCAGCTGCATCAGCGTTTTTTGACTACGTAATTTATGCTGATGACACGAATGTTTTTAGCAGCGGCAGATCAATGAAGCAAATTGAGGAAACAAACAGAGAGTTAAAAAACATAATCTCTTGGTTCGAAGCCAATAAACTTTCAATTAACAGTTCAAAAAGCCAAATGATGGTTTTTGGACCCGTACAATATCTTAATTACAAGGAGCCGTATAAAATCATCCTAGATAACAACACAATTGTTGAAACAAAATGTTTAAAACTTCTAGGCATGCTGCTCGATCAGAAACTCTCCTTCAAACATCACATAAAACAAGTATCATCCAAACTTTCAAAGTCAATAGGAATGATAAACAGAGTAAAATCATTTTTGCCAAAAAACTGTTTGAATCTTCTGTATAATTCCCTGTGCATTCCGTTAATAAACTACTGCAACATTGTATGGGCTTCATCGTACCAC